ACAAGCTGGGGTGTGCTGAAGCTGGCTTGCACTGACTCCGAATCAATTATGCTCACCCCTTCCCAATTCCAAGTTCAGGGATGTCCCATTAGAAGCTTGAAGTCATACATGGTGGAGAGTATTTATACCACAATAATCAGTAAATGCTACGTATCGGCTATTTTTTTTTTTTTTTTAACCTGGAGAGCTGGTTGGTAACCATTTATCAGCATACCACTGCACATATCAAAACATGCAATTACATCAGAGTGTGAGAAGTGTTACAGTAAGTGTCATGGGGGTCTCAAGAAGGGAGAAATTCTTCCTGGAGAAGCTGGAGAATGTGACAAGGTTTTGCCCACTAGATTGCATTTCTCTTCACTTATCGCAATGACCCAAGCAAGAGACCAGAAGCCTCTGGTCCCACTGGCCCACTGCCTCCCTCAGCCCCTGTGGTCACTCACCCCCATTCTGCCTCTCTCCCTCTCAGGCCTGCACTCTTAAACAGTGCTGAAAACTTCACTGTGCTCATCAAGAATAATATCGATTTCCCTGGCCACAACTACACCACGTAAGTGTCTGGCAGTGTTAGTTATCTACTGCTGTGTAACAAATTACTCCAAAAGCTAGAAGCTTAAAACAACAAGCATTTAGCATCTCACTCGATTTCTGTGGATCAGGAATGTGGGACTGACTTTACTGGGTAGTTCTGGCTCAAGGTCTCTCAAGCTGCAGTCAAGTTGTCAACGAGGCTGGGGCTGGAGAATCCTATTCCAAGCTTCTCGTGGTTGTTGGCAGGAGGGCTCAGGTCCTCACCACATGGACCTCTCCCTGGGACTGTCTGAGTGTCCTTAGGACATGGCGGCTAGAGCAAATCCTCCAGAGCAAATGATCTGAGAGGGACAGAGAGCAAGCAAGCAAGATAGTAACCAAGATGGAAGCTGTGGTCTTTTATAACCTAATCTGGGAAGTGACATACCATCACTTCTGCCGTATGCTGTTGGTCACACAGACCAACCCTGGTACAGTGTGGGAGGGGACTACGCAAGGGTGTGAATACCAGGAGGTGGGGATCGCTGAGGGCCCTCATGGAGCCAGTTACCACACGGGCTCACTCCTATGAAAGAGACGGATCCTAATTTTCAATAGAGATGTTTGTTTGTTTGTTTGTTTGTTTGCTTTTCATTATGTGCAGGAGAAACATCTTGCCAGATATAAACATCACTTGCACCTTTCACAAGATTCAGAATCCACGGTGTCCCATTTTCCGACTAGGAGATATCTTCCAAGAAACAGGAGATAATTTTTCAGAAGTGGCAATTCAGGTTTGTGCCATGAGGTGTGGTGTTTGTGCTGGGAGATGGGAGACGTTGAATGGCCACGAGTCTGGGCCACTGGGTCTTAAGAATATGGCTCCCGTTACTGAGCGTTTAGTAAATCCATGCACGATGTCAAGGATTTTCAGTACGTTACCTCATCTAATCCCACAACAAGCCCAATGTGAGATACTTGGTGTGTTAGTGTCCTGCGGTAACTGCTGTCACGAATTACGACAAACTTGGTGGCTTCAAAAGCACACATTTCTTCTTTCCTTCTGGAGGTCAGAAGTCCAAAATCAGTGTCACTGGGCCGAAATCAAGCTACCAACGAGGCCGTGCTCCCACCAAGGGCTCTAGGGTAGAATCCCTTTCCTCGCCTTTTCCACCTTCTAGAGCTGCATTCCTTGCCTTTCTCGGCTCATAGGCCGCTTCTTCCAGCTTCAATGCCAGCAGCATAGCATCTTGCATCAGTGGTCACAGTGACTTCTTAGTCTGTGTCAACACTCCCTCCCCCAGGCGATCTAGGATAATCTTCCCATCTCAAGATCCTTACTTTAATTGCAGCTGCAAAGTCTCTTTTGCCATATAAAGTAACATGTTTGGAGGTTCCAGGGACTAGGGACCTGAGATTAGGAATAATTTGGGGGCCATTATTCAGACTACCACACTTGGATTTGTCAGGATTCTTCTAGTTGCAAGTGACAGAAATCCAACTCAAATGATGAAATGCGAAAAATTCAAAAGTAATTTTGGGGGGCAAATAACAGAAACCAAACTTGACTGGCTAAAGTCATAAAAGGAACTATATTTGCTTGTGTAAAAAGACCATGGGGAGTAGTGGTATCTCCATATAGTTTATAGTTTTTCGATTACTAGTGATGTTGAACATCTTTTCATGTGCATATTGCCATTTGTGAGTCTCATGAATCTGTCTAAATTGTTCCTCATTTTTCAATTGGATTGTTTGACTTCTTGTTATTGAGTTGTAAAAGTTCTTTTTATATTCTAGATACATACGTCTGATATGTATTGTGAATAGTTCTCTTAGTCTGTGACTTGCCTTTTCATTTTCTTAGTGGTATTTTTTGAAAAGCAGATGTTAACTTTGACGAAATCCAGTTTACCTCTTGGATATTGATCATGGGAATACAAAGTGGTTCAACCATTTTGGAAAACTGTATGGCAATTGTTTACAAGGTTAAATATCCACTTTCTATAACACCCAGCTGTTGAACCCCTTGACATTACCAAAGAGAAATTAAAATTTATGTTCACACAGCCTTGTACAAGAATATTCATGGCAGCTATTTTGATAGCCCAAATCTGGAGACAAACCAAACATCTATTGACAGATGAGTAGATAAAACAAAGTATAGCACATTCATACAATGGACTACGACTTGGCCATAAAAATAAACGGACTATTGATACATGCAACAATGTGGACAGGTCTCAAAAACATTTTGAGTGAAAGAAATAAGGCACATACTATGTGATCCCATTTATAAGAAACTCTAAAAAGAGGCATAAGCCATCGATGTGAGCAGAAGCAGACCAGGGCCTGCCTTGGTCGGGAAGGGGCAGGGGAAATCATGGACTACGAAGGGGCACAAGGGAGCCTTTCGAGGATAGAAATGTTCTGTATCTTCATTGCGGTGGTGTTATGGGTATATGAGTGACAGAAGTCACTGACTTGTTACACTTAAATAAGGGCATGTTATACTTCAGTAAAGTTCATCTTTAAAAAGGGGAAAAAAAAAAAAGACCATAGGGAATGGACCTGCCAGTACACCCAAGGCATCTTCTTACTGAAGGAGCTTTCTCTTGCTAGTCCCTCGGTTGGAATAGTCTTGCCCCAGACATAGCATTAGCCGTCTCCCTCACGTACTTCCAATATTTACTCAAATATGTGCTCAGTGAAGCTTTCTGTTACCACTATATTTACTATTACAATTAATAAATAGTTTCATTAAAATGAAGCGAAATTACAAATTTATTTACTCGATCGTACTAGCCACATTTCAAGTGCCCGATAGCCGTATGTGGCCAGTAGCTACTATTTTGTACAGCATGACAATAGAATAATTCCATCGTTGTAGAAAATTCTATTGGACTATGCTTGTCTAGACTTTCACATTTTATGGCTAGTGGTTCCAGCCAATAGAGAACCTCTTTTCTTATGGTTCTGGCAAAAAGTCTCAGAGAAGGCTCTTATAGGTCTATCTTGGGCCACATTCCTACCCCTGAACCAATCACCAGGTCCAGAGGAACGCACTGTCCTGACTGACAAGGCCTGGGTCAAGCGCCCACTCCTGGAGCTGGGAAAGAGGGCAGCCCCAGTCAAACCAATAAGAGTTGGGAGAGGTGTTTCCCAAAGGAAATTCCAGGTATTCTTACCAGAAGGAGGAGAATTGGATGCTGAGTGACAAAAACATTAGATATTCATTGTAGTAGACAGAGTGCTTGGCTTAGTGTCTGCCAATAAATACAATTGTATTATTTCCCCTTTCTCCAAGTCAGAGCCTGCCTGTTATTCTTCTCTGCATCCCCAGCATCTAGTATACTATCTTGAAATGCCCTATTGCACGATTCAAAGACTTTTTTTTCATTTTTAATAGTTCTGAAATCAGGAAATGCTTTCAATTGATGGAGTCTCACAGTTTGACATTTTCTTCTTAGAGGAAAAAAAATTATGGGTCTCACAAGCAATAGTGGCTAAAGATAACAATGAAATGTGGTAGCCAGTGCTCAAAATATATTTGTAGAAAGGAAGAAGTACAAGTGCAGGTTAAGAGATGAAGAGACTCCTTAGAAGCTCCAAGCAGAGAAAGGTCACCTTGAACTGAGGAGGATGGGGTGGCTGCGGAGGGATGTAAGCTGGGTCTTTCTTGGAGGATGAGGGGGAGTTAGCTAGAGAGGCAGGTGAGAGAAACATTTCACTAGGAGAAAAGGGTAAGGGCCAAGATTTAAAAGTTCAAAGGGTACCTAGCAACCCACTCAGTATATACCCAAGAGAAATGATAACTTACATCAACACAAAAATTTGTACATAAATGTTCATAGCAGCATTAATTGCGATAGCTAAAGGGTAGAGACGACCTAAATGCCCATCGAAGGAAGAATGGATAAACAAAATGTAGCATATCCACAGAGTGGAATAGTCCACCACAGAAAGATACATGCTAAAATGTGGATGAACTTTGAAAACACTATGCTAAGTGAAAGAAGCCAGACACAAAAGGCCACATATTATCTGATATAGTCATATGAAAGTTCAGAACAAGGAACTCTATAGAGACGGAAAGTAGATTAGTGGCTGCTTAGGACTGGGAGAGGAGATAGAGATGATGACTCAAGTTTGTGGGGTTTCTTTGGAGGTAATGAAAATGTCATGAAATTGTTGACAATTGTATATACATGTAGACATACGATTAAAAAGCTGTTGAATTATACACTTCGAATAAGTGAATTGTATGTGAACTATATCTCAATGAAGCTGTTTTTAAAAAAGAAATGAAAGGTACAAAGTGTGTTTAGGGAAAAGTGTAGACGGTTTGGAATAAGAGCTTTCTCTTAGGGGAGTACTGGGAGATAAAGCAGAAGACACAGGTGGTGGGGCACCCCGAATTCCAGTCTAACGAGTGTTAACTTACTCTTTAATAGGGGAGCCATAAAAGGTGTTTGTTTATGGGAGTGGTTTGTTGAAAGTTATATTTTAGGAAAGTAAATCTAACAGCGGAATGCCTCAGACGGGAGGGGCAGGGAGCTGCATTTGCAGATCCCACAGGAATACCTGTGTTAGTTATCAGGGCTGCGCTCATGGCTCTCAAACCTTGAAGCAGCCTTTTTCCTCTAAAAACAAAAAGCCCGTCCTTCGGTGAGCATCGTTCTGCAAGGAGGGGTCTGGTGGCTGAATCCCATGTCCAGCAGGACTCAGAGATCGCCTCTTGTTGTCTTCCCCAGGGAGGAATCATGGGCATTGAGATCTACTGGGACTGCAACCTGGACAGTTGGTCCTATCACTGCCTTCCAAAATATAGTTTCCGTCGCCTTGATGACAAGATAACCAGTGAGACCTTGTACCCCGGCTACAACTTCAGGTAACAGCGCTCCAGCTCGGACTGGCCACTCCCGGCTCCCCAGGGACCTTCCTGGCTGGCTGGACTGCAACATTCCCAGCAGTCAGTAAGACTAGATTTGGTTCCCAAGGCAACAGATGAACGTAAAGGACTTCCTCCTCTCAGAGCTAGCTGGTGATTATATTTTCGTATGAATTTTTTCTTTTTAATTCTTACAGAGATGCACACTCTTTGTAGAACAGAAACAAAACTCTGCAAACAGAGAAAAGCATAGAAAAGAGGATTTAAAAAGTCACCTATAATTCCTCTAGCCCGAGATAATCAACAACCCTCTGGTGAATTTCCCTTCATGTAACCAATCTCTTCATGAGGTTTATATGAGATCATTTCATGCTTATAATTGGGGATTGTCATTCGAAATTCTCCGTGACCATCACGTTAACGATCTCACTGTGTGAGTGTAATGGTGACAACCGCCACAACCTAGGGAGGGTGTTCTATACACCGGGCACTCGGCTTCATCAAAAACGGCTCTCTCTGGCACGTAGACAGTAGTTAGTGTTCCCAGGTAAAGCCACAGACGGTGAAATGATTTGCCAAGATCCACAGCTAAGAGTAAAAGCTGCATAATCCTAACCTAGGTCACTTTGACCCCCAAACTCACACCTTTTCCCTCTATCTCACGATTTTCTCACTCATTCCTCTATTATTGGACATTTGGGGTGTTTCCAGTTTTTCTCTTATAAATAACTCTGCGGCGCACATCTTTGTACACGAATCTTTGTTGGAATTCCAGATTATTTCCTTAGAATAAATTTCTAGAAATAGAAGTATTGGATCGAAGGTTATGAACATTTTACCATATGCTTTCAGATTTTTAAAAAACTTTTCTATGGCTGTATTTCTCACTTCTCGAATTTATATTTGGTTCTTTCTCAAAGCCATATATTATTGTTTCAGTGGGGTCCATTCTTACCTCATGGATCCTTTGGTCCAGTCTACTGAATAACCCCGTTCACACTGATGTATCACCTACAGTAACGCGAATGGGATTTCTGCTTGTGGGGCTCTGGGGTAGTTGTTGGGGGCCTTCACAGGAATGATCCAGCGCGACATTCTGTACCTGCCGTGGGGCACAGAGGCATTCCTCTGGGGTATTATGTAACTCTGCTGTTCTTCCTGCCAGGATTGTAAGGCATCTACCAATTACGAACCAGATTTTAGCTTAATTTCTGGGCACCGGATGTCTTCACTCTGCTGAAAGTCTCCCATCCCCGCTCCCTTGCCTTGTAAGGCTTCTGCAGGCTCAGCTCCCTTCCCCAGGAGTGTGTTACACTTCCGGCTCCGAGTGTGTTACAGATCTGGTCCGGGCGCCCCCAGGGGTCCCTTGGCTTCAGTCCTCACTCACCGCTTATCTCTAGCATCTAGAAAAGGCCATTCTCTGTTTTGAGCTCAGCAATATATTGAGATGACGTCTTTGTGTATGGAGTGAGAGGTGGAGGGCTTCCTGTACTAGCTCAGGATGCTATCTTGACCGGAAGTCCTTTCGGGAAGAACATCTTTAGGACCCGTGATACCCTGGGCCGTGCTGCTTCCTCTCCGAATTCACTAGAATCCTGGTTCATGTTCACTCTTAAGTTGGCTGCTGTTGGTTTGGTCCTGATCTATTCCTTTTTTTTTTTTTTTTAATAGACATGAATATTTTTTATTTGAAAAGTTATGTATTCACTTTCAAGCATTACATTTATATTCTCACTAGGTTTTGTGAGACAATGAGGGGACTGATCAAAAAAGAAAGGACTCTGACCTTTGGAATGATGATATCTGGAAAGATTTGGAGGAAGCTAAACCTCCAAAGTACCCAGAATCACTAACTTCTCTTTTCACCCCTCGAGGAAGTAATCCCAACCCCTGACTTTGCTGGAAACAGCTAGACATTTCCCTTTAGTGCTGTCTTTAAACGAGTTAGGTCCGGCTCTGGTCTCGTTTTGACCCTTTGCGCAGTTCATCCTCGGATCCTGCCTTTTGCCCAGCGGTGATCCTGTGCCATCCTAACTTAGTTTCCACGTTACCTCCTACGTCTGCATCACTTTTCCAACCTGTTCCTACAACTCTGTCCCAGCGCTAACCTGGCCCTTCAGTCCGAGGCTCATAACACAGTCTCCACGGCTTGTCATTGCCTGTGGGAGCCAGGCAGGTTTCTGTGACTGTGGCTATGGCTCATCATTTTGTGCCTGGGTTCTAGGAACAAAGTAGGCATATGCTGTTCCCTTTTCAGAAAGAGTCGCCAAGTAGGTCCCTAGAATAATGGTCACATGATTTGCCTGTGAAGCTGGTAGGAAGCTGATATAGGCATTTCTCATTTGTTCATTCATCAAATATACATTGAAGAAAAAATATTGGTTGTGCTAACGAGTATATATTGGTAAATAAAAGAGACAAAGTTACTTTCGTGGAGCTTATATTCTAGTAGGACATGAATATAAGACTATTATCACTATAATATATAAGTATAATATAGGACAAAAATATAAGTAAATAAAAGACGCCAGCAAGCCATCATTTGTTTATCATCAGAGGATGCAAATTTAAACCACAATGAGATACAACTACACCCACCAGAATGGCTGAAATTTAAAAAGACTGAGAATTCCAAATGTTGGCAAGGAGGAGCAACTGGAACGCTCCCACCTTTCTGGTGTGAGTGTAAAATGGTGCAACCACGTTAGAGAACTGTTAGGGAGCTTCTCACGACGTTAAACATGCATCTACGTGGAGACATATGTCCACACAAAGATCTGTACACAGACGTTCGCAGCAGCCTTGTTCGTAAATAGCCAAAACCTGGAAACAGCCCAAATGTCTAATAACAGGTGAACGGAGAAATAAAGTGTGATATAAAATAAAACACTACTTAGTATAAATAAAAAGGGAACTAACTACTGATATACATGCAACGGCACAGATGGATCCCAGACATGGTGCTGAGTGAAAGAAGCCAGATCTAAATGAGGACATACCATGTGATGCCATTTATAGGAAGTGCAAGAACAGGCCAAACTGATCTACGATGATAGGAGACAGAACAGTGGCTGCTGGGCTGGGGAGTAGGGGCGGAGAGGGAGGAGGAATAGGAACTGATTGGAAAGGAGCACAAGAGAATTTTCTGGGGGTCATGGAATGTTCTAGATATCGATGGGGTATAGGTTACACAGGGTATTCATCTGTCGAAACTCATTGAACTGAACCCTTAGGACTTGTGCATTCTATTGTAGGTAAATTATACCTTGAAAGAACAAACAGTTCCAACAAGACCATTTCAGATGATGAGAAATGTTGTAAAGAAAATCAAACAAGACACTGTGAGGGGGTGGTTGGTGGGGGAGGGGGCCTTGGAGAGGCGTCAGGGAAGCCCCCTCCAAGCACGAGGTAGCACCCCTGTAGGCATCATGTGCTTTCCTAGTTAAGAAGAGAAACAGCACAGACAGGAGCCCATGTAGGGGAGTCAACTTGCAAAAAAATTTACCATCTCTGAATCTCTCTAGTACTAGTGATCTAGACCAATGGTTCTCAAAGTGTGGGCCCAGCATCAGCATCACATGCGAACTTGTCAGAAATGCAAATTCTCAGGCTCCACCCTGGACCTACGGAATTGGACACTGGAGCGGGGCGGAATTCTCAAGCCCGCCAGGTGATTCTGGCACACGCTCAAGTTTGAGAACCATTGACCCAGAACCTCAATGCTCGGAGCGAGGTCCTGGAACCAGCAGCACGGGCCCCACCTAGAAGCCTGCTACAAAGCAGGATCTCAGGCTGCACTCTCGTATTACTGAATCAAAAGCTGTGTTTTAACCAGATTCCTGGGAGATTCGTGTGCGCTTTAAAGTCTGAGAAGCGCTGGTTTAGGCTCTGTCATCGAGCACCCCAAAGGATTTTCTTCTCAGATGTCACTTAAAGCAGCATTATAAACTGGCAAGGAGCCTCCCACTTTTCTTATTGTTGTTTTTGGCCTGCACAATGTTTTGAAAGTTGAGACAAAAATCTAGACTTCCTACTTTTCTTGAAAAAATGAACTAAAATTGGAAAAAGACATTAATCCATTTGACAACTCTGGGTTTATATCCCACACAGCAGCACTCAGCTGGCGCTGTCAGTGGCTCCCTTTTGGAAGGGGCGTGCTTTTCGGTTTTCCACTGTCCCCACCGCACCTTGTTGCCTCATACCTGGCCCGCATGACTCATTTCTGTCATCTCCTAGGCCCCTGTACGTATCTGAATTTGAGACCCTTGACTAAAGGCTGGCTTAAGATCAAGACACAAGAGGCTTTCTGCCTTCTCTAGGTCAGTATAGTTTCATCCCAGGCTCTGACACCAGCTGCTCGTTTAGGTAGTGATTATCCCCTGCTGCTCTACAGAATGGGCTGATGGCCATTAGCAAGGAGAGAGGATGGGATCTGTGGTCCCCTGACCGCTTTCGTGGGCTTTGTGTTTTTAGCAATCAGCAGAAGCATGCAGGGCAATGTACCAACCAGATGTGCTGTGCTAGCCTAAGGACACTCATTCCTGGAGAGATCTGAGCTTTATGGAGAACTGAGATCGCTATGATGTTAATAGTCCTTTAGAACAAAGCGTTCGAGCATCTGTGGTCTAGAATGAGCACCGGAAGGAATCTTTGGCCAAAAATGAATTGTCCAGATCTGAAAGGTACCCAGACAAGTGATTTTCAAATAGCCACATGAAAGAGAAGGTAATGGCAGGTTAGATGAGGTATGTGAGAAAATATAACTTTCTAAAACATAAGAATTTGAAGAAGTTGGTCACATTACAGAATTTTGTTTTTTACCAAAAGATGTCCATGGCAAAAGGTCCTCGTTAGGTAAACACATGATTCGGTTCATTTGCCGCATGTGTAGGCGGGGCAGGGTGGACCCACACAGAACGCCGGATGCTCTCCTCTGGTTCAGAATCGGCACGTGATCGTATAGTGTCCTGCGCCTACTCTAACAAATGACCACAGACTTGGTGGCTTTAACAATAGAAATTTATTCTCTCGCAGTTCTAGAGACCCGAAGTCCAAAAGCAAGGTGTCAGCAGGGCCAGGCTCCCTCTGAAATCTTGAAGGGAGGACCCTTCCTTGCCCCTTCCAGCTGGTTCCAGGTGGTCAGAGAGAGCAACTCATGGGTTTGGATTCTGTTCTTCTCTCTGCCAATCACAGATCTAGAGGCGGAGCTAGAAGATGGATAAGACTAGATTATCTATTGTTTCGATTTTTCTTTTCATAAGATACCAGCACTTTCAGACAGATCTTTATAAATATAAACATCCTTTTCCTCCTACAGATATGCCAAGTACTATAAGGAAAACAATGTTGAAAAGCGGACTCTGATCAAAGTCTTTGGGATCCGTTTTGACATCCTGGTTTTTGGGACCGTAAGTCTCTGCTCCCAGTCACTGGCATCTCCCTTCCTTCTTCTGACTGTGTCCTAATTATTGCTGTAGTGCCTCAAGGGGCGAATGTTTTGGTGACAGTCATTAGCTGGCACTGTGCATCTCCCATGCAGGATAAGAAAGGGGGAAGAAACGTCCTAGGGGCTCTGTCCATGAAAAAGTCATCTGATGAGTACAGGAGTGAGATTGGGGAGGGAAACCTAATATTTGCCTTTAAAAATATTCTGATGTTTAAAAAAAAAAAAAAGGAGAAAGAAATCCCTCTGCAAAACAGAGTAGTTAGTAACGGAATCCAACTGGCGTGGCGGGGGGAAAAGGGCATTTTTAAATTTGAGTTCACATAACTGAAAGATCCAGGGGCAATTTCAGGCTTCAGACATGGCTGGATCCAGATACTCCAACATCATGAGGAATCTACCTCCCCCCATCTCTTACATCTGTCCTCCTCTGCTCTGGCACTGTCCCCCGCTATCCACCCTCACATGGCGGTGCTAGGCAGCCCCTTATATTTTCCCAGTTTAGCGACCTTAACTAATCACTGTGACCAGGGTCACGCCACACTCTAAATGGCCGGTCTTGGACCAGCCCTGAACCAGCCCCAAACTACACGGACCAAGCGTCGGTACACACAGACTCAGGGAAAGGTCCAGGAACTGAAAACCTACCTCTGTAAGCAGAGAACAGAGAAGGACCAAAGAGAGAGGCTGCCACTCCAGTCTGGTAATGCACAGAGTTTATCAAGGGAAACTTACATACAAGGCGCATCTTGGGTGTCTGCCAGACAAAATGGATCCCCGTGCCACTAACAGGCCCCAGAGAATTTTATAAGGCAAAAAGGGGACAGTCGCATGTATCAGTCATGGGAAACCACGGCATACGCCTGATGAGGTCAGGACAATGGTCGGGACTGTTCCGGGAACCCACCGGCAGCAGGTGGCAGGGGAGGGCACTGAATCACAGCAGAAGGAACATTGATTATGACCAGACAGTCTCTGCCGGGGACTGCAGTAAGCACTATCCGTCCTAGCCCCGGTCCAGCCCGCAGATCAGACAGGGCTCACATCGTGGACCAGCTTGCCCTCCACACTGAGTGTGGGCAGGGATGGTTCTCCAAGGGAAAACCAGGATGCTTCCTTCTCCAGAAGGAAGGAGGAGATGCCTGGCATGCAAAAATCAACAGACACCCACGACGCCTTGTCCGATGGCATGTTATTCATGTAACATGGTGATAAGCAGCACAAGAATCAATGAGTTTGGCTGGAAGGATAGACAGGAAGACTACTGAGAATAAAAACCACGAGGATACCCAAGGAAAGAGTTTGTGCGGACATTCCTTCCCGCTGCTTCCAAAGGAATCTCAGACTATGGTTAGAGAACGTTTGTCTGAAACCCTCACGCTGTATGGAATGACCACCTTCAGTGGTTCTCACTCAGTGTGTGGGTTCCAGGGCTCCTTGGTTTAAAACATTCACGTTTTCGAGCACAATGTGCAGGGCAGAATCCGGAGGAATGGGAATCACATTTTCAGCCTTTGCTGTCTCTGCTGCTTTAGATGCATTTATCAAAGTCGCAGCCCTGGACTCCCCGCTTTGCTGGAACTGCCAATCACACGCTAGAGCACAAGATCCTTGCTCTGAATTTCAGCCGAGTAACCAACCGTCCCCGCTCTGTTTTCAGGGAGGCAAACTCGACATCATCCAGCTGATCGTGTACATCGGCTCGACCCTCTCCTACTTCGGTTTGGTAAGGGGCTCTTTCTCATGCTTTCTGAAAATCAAGTGGCAAAAACAAACAAACAAACAAAATGTTTCACTAACACGGCACTTGTCTGGGTTCTTCCCAGGCCACGATGTTCATTGACTTTCTCATCGACACTTACTCGAGCAAATGCTGTCGATCCCGCATTTACCCCTATTGCAAGTGCTGTGAATGCTGCGCGGTCAATGAGTACTACTACAGGAAGAAGTGCGAGTCCATTGTGGAGCCCAAGCCGGTAAGGCTCACGCGTCTCCAGCGTCAAAACGCCCGCAGAGTCCGTTAGGGCGCCAAGAACGTGCAAAAACGAGGCCAGAATCGCAGGTGTGACCCCCCCCCAGGGGACAAGTCTCTGGACCCTACCCCCGACCCGCCGCCCCTCAGATGCGTCCTTTGGTCTTAGGAAAGAACATTAGGGAAAACAAAGTTTGACATTCCAGGACTTGTCAATTTCCCCAGATTTATTAAAAACAACAGTGCAATGACTTTGGAGGACATTCTGGCCATATCCAATAACGTCGAAGTGGGACGTACTGTGCAGCCTGGCATTTCCGCTTCTCCGTCCCTGCGCTAGAGAAACACTCACCAGTACCCAAGCGGCAGACGTGCTCGAGACGTCCGTTACAGCACTGTTTGCAACTGAGCATCTACCCCAATGTCCACTAGGTGAACAGTGCATTAAACTATGATAAATCCATAGCAAGAAATGCCAGGTACGGGTCTAAAAGAATGAGGTAGACAATAACAGGAAACGTTTATACAGCACTTTGAAGTGCTTTCCATATATTAACTCACTGAAGCTTGACAACAACCTTATAGATAGGTGCTACTGTGATCGCTCTCTATAGATGAGGAACCTGAGGCACAGGGCGGTTAACCAATTTGTCCAAAGTCATACAGCTCATAAATGGTAGAGCTGAAATTCCAACTTAGGTAGATGGTTTCAGAATCCATGTTCATTACCACGACGTTATAGGTACTGGCATGAGCAAATATCTAAAACATTTTTTTTTGAGAGAAAAGCAGCAAACTATAGAACAACATATATGGTACAATATATAGGATAAAAAAAACAACTACACACGTGAATTCTGTGTATTTTCTATATGTATATTATGTATGTATATTATATGTGTAGGTATATACACAAACATATATTCTCTATATTTTTATACATATATTTTCTACATGTATCACATGCACACGCATACATATGGGGGTAATATATGTATACAAAAAGGCATTGCACTCATAAGAAAGTGACAACAATGATTCCTTCTGGAAAGAAGCCGAGGATGGGGGACTAGTCGAAGGGAACGTTAGCTCATCTGTATTTTGGTTGTTTAATTTGGACTTTACTAAGCAGGGCCTCTACACTTGATTTCCCCCAATCAACAAGGAATCTCTGGTACTTAAAAACAACAAAGACAGTTTCTTTGTCTTCCCCGCCCTCACCCCTCCCCCCGCAAAAAACATCACTGTCCTCTTCCAGAAGCTGAATGCATAATTCATTGTCCGTTGTGCGTGTATACACATTTTGAAAAAAAGTTCACCTTTGCCACTAAAAATAATCACTATTTCATGGCCCCGGATGGGGTGAAATTTAATGAAAATATAAATAAGTAGCATATTTTTTGGAGATATTCAATCAAGAGTAACTGAAATTGAAGGAACACAGCGACGGAAGGGTATAGCGCTCGTGGGACCAAAAAACATTAAGCTGTGGATACTGAGTCCACAAAATTAAGGTGCATTGGGTTCCATTTCTGATTTTCCTTTAAATTCCTGGTTAGCAAGCGTTTTTGGTGAACCTGTCTAACAGTTTGTCATTTGGTAAATGGGAATAACACTTGCCTTTAGATATGTTCGGGTATGCAATTCTTGATAATTCTATACAAAAATAGGTAATAAAAAGTTTAACCTTCTTTC